GATTAAAGTTTTGTCATAGCTACAGCACGTCCTCAAATAACATTGTTCATTCAATATTATTTTGTTATAACAATGATGATTAAAAAAACTGATTCCCAGTGGGGCTACTGTCTGTGCGGAGTTGGCATATTCTCCCCATGTCTGCATGGGTTTTCTCCTTGTCCTGTGGTTTCCTGCCACATCCCAAAGATGTGAATGTTAGATTAGCTGATGTGTCTGCACTGTCTCAGTCCAAGTGAGTGTGGGTGGGTGTGCACAGCCCTGCAATGGAAGGGCACCCTCCTGGTGAAGTAAGCTGCTAAGACAGGCTCCAGACACCTGTGACCCAGGACTAGAATAAGCAGGTTAGAAAATCACTATCTCACTTGTTTTTATTCATCTTTCTTAAATGGGTGTATAGCTCACATTGATTTCAATGTTTATTATTAGAATTGTCAGGGGTCTTTATTTAAAAGTTCGATGATGTTTTTGTGATCAGGAATATGCCCTAGGAACATAATGCTTGTTTCTACCAATTAGCCTAGAGCGAAAGTGGTTTCATTATGCATCGTTTCTCTTAAAGTTGCAGTTCCCAAGAACCTATCAAGAATGTTCAATGAAGACTGACTGTATTTGGGTATTTATGGCTGGCTTTGTGCTAGGAAAGAATTTCAGAATAAGAAAACTATGCTATTTTATCATTAAAGGGAGGCTTCCTTACTATTTTAGTCCATATTCCATTTATTATCACAGAAATCAAATGCTGGAGGACAGGGGTTTGTTTAATGAGATTGTTTAATTATGTGTCTTTAAATGTAAAACCCGTATTGCCACCTAGTGGTCATCTGAGTCACCTACAAAACAGGTTGTACAAAGTGCCAATCATAAATGTCCAGGATAATAAAAATTAAGTGTATGCACACAGACTAAATAAGCACAGAATAAAGTGCAAGAAAAGTTAACTACTTTAGATCAATAGAGCTGTTCTCTACACTTTAGAAGACGAGAAAATGCATCAATGACATTACAGTTGCTAACTTTGTGCTTGGCATTATTCCTGGTATTCTGCGGGATGTGGGGAGGGGCAGAGGGGTTTGGCTTCCCTCTGACTCTGAGGGTGGGACAGATACCATAGAGGACCAACGACAGGCAGGGTGCCCACACAGGGCACCAAACAAGCATTGAGGTTACCAGAAGGGCATGAAGGAAAGTTCTTCAAAATAACAGCAATAACAACATGCAGCCACGGGATGGATGAACCTGGAGGTCTTTATGCTGAGTGAAAGAAGTCAGTCACAAAAGACAAATATTATATGACTCCACTTATCAGAGGTCCCTAGAGAAGTCAGGTCCATAGAGACAGAAAGTATGGGGGAGGGAGGGCCTGGGTTGAAGGATGGGGACAGAGTTTCCATTCAGAATACGAAAAAGCTCTAGAAATGGGTTATACAATATAAAGGTACTTCACTATAAAACTACACTTAAAAATGAATATGATGGCAAATTTTACGTTGTTATGTTCTTTATCACAATTAAAAATAATAACAGTGACAGTGGCAGTGGCACCAGCAACAAGGAAACCCTGTGTGGGCCACCTCCTGAGGCAACTGCACAGGCAGGGGTCCACAGCAGTCTGGTCACATGGACAGGCTGAGGCCCTCTCATGAGTCCTCTCTGGGGAACAGAATAGAGCTGATAACTGCGTACAAGTCTCAGGTTCCCTGATGGCCCATGAGGCACCTTCTCTCTTTGTCCAGAGAGGGCTGCTCATACTCTGTCCAGCCCCAGCATGTGGGGTTCCCCAACGTCCCCCGAGGGTCCCACTGCCCCACTGGAAGCAGCACCTTCCAGCATACAGGCACTACCTATGAAGGCTGCGAACTCCCAAACCCTCCATCTGCTGCCCAAGCCTTTCTCCTGAGCTTCATGTTTTCAGCCCCTAGCCACTGATAACTCCACCTCAGACTTCATTTACAGAAACCTCAGTCATCTATCCACACCCCACAAACCTGCAAATTCATCAGCATCAGATGGTGGCCCCACCCCACCCTACCTCATGTGGGCCCAACCTTCCCCAATTCTGGCCCAGTGTCACCCCAGCCACCAGGAGCCTGGCCAGCTGCACCTCTCACCTCAGTCCAATGATTCTGAAACTGTCTGCAACAAAGTGGGGTCTCCATCTACTTTGGGCAGCATTGCCCTGGACGAATCCAAGGGCCTTAGAATTAGGATCCCTGCTGCACTCTTGACAGTCGTAATGCTGCCACCAGAGCGAGGTTCTTAAAATGAAAATCTGAGCAGGTCAATGCTCTAACCACTCTCCCTAGCAGTAATTCTCAACAGGGAACACTGTTAGTACAGGGAGGAGGGGTTGCTCCTGTACCTCCTTCCAGGGGGCAGGGACACTAAGTGTCTTGGACATAAAGGAAATCTCTCTCCAAGTGCCAGTAATGCCCCTGCGAACAGTCTGAGTCCTCATCGGAACACACAGCTTGCCTGCGGTCAGGTCCCCAACAACTGTCTGGGCCAGCCACCTACTCTGCCTGCCTCCCACTCTATACCCACCTCAGGAGGGCAGGCAGGGCCCGCACACACTGTACTCCTGCTTCTCACCTGGCTGCCTTTACCTGGCTGTCCACCTGGAAAGCCCTCTCCCACTCCTACCCCTTCCCAACCTACCTAGTACCGAATTTTTTATTTAATATTGTTTCTTGTATTGTGGTAAGAACACTTAACATGAGTTCTGTCCTCTTAAAAAAATTTAGGTGTACAACAGAGGATTTTTGGCTCTAAGGACAATTTTGTAATTCATATCTCTAGAGTTTATGACTATTGATAACTCCTTACTGCCCCTCTCCCCATAGCCCCTGGTAAAACCCTTAGTCTTTGACTCTGTGAAGTTGACTATTTCAAATGCTGCCTACAAGCAGAACCACACAATGCTTGCCTGTGTCTGCACTTCCTCTGTGCTTTAGAAGTGCCCATTTACAGGCCCATCTCCTCTCTGAGACTGTAGGTTCTGCCAGTGCAATGACCATGGCTTGCTGATCCTTGAACATCCAGTACTTTGCCCCCAGTAACTCTGTCAACACTGAATGAGTGAATAAGAGGTTCACACATAAATTCTTTCATGGACTAGACGAGTCCCTGACATGTACACAAAATCCTGACTTTAGCAGAGATGTCAATTTGTCTGAGTCTTCACTATTTTCTTTCTTTCGGTGAGTAGAACCCCTTAGGTTTGGCTGGATCCAAGGCCACCCAACTAGACATGACCTTTCGCAGCTGAGTTGTGCCCATATGGTTATGTTCTGGATAACCATATGTTGGGGGAAATGCTGAGTACCACTTTAAGGTCACATCCTTAGCAGGTACATCCTTAGCAGGAGGCTGCTTGCCCTCCACACACTGGAATGCAAATGCAAGAGTGGTGGCCAGCTTCCACCATGAAGATGAGGGCTCCTTAGCCCACAGTAAAGTAGCAGGGCAGAGGACCCTGGTACAGAGCTGCCTGTTGCTGGCTGCCCGCAACTGCACTGTTTGGGAGAGAATGTAAATCTCCATCTTCCTTAAGTCATTGTTAACAGTGTCTGTGTGAAAGCAGATGAATGACTTTTCTCATCTTTTCCATATTGTTTCTCAAGATTCACTTAATCATACGATCATATCTTCCTAGCACAAACTCATCTGATTGCTTAGTTTGGAGTAATTGTCACAGCCCAATAGAGCTACACTCTTTAATGCTTGCCAGGATCCAAAGGAGGGGTTACGGGGGCTACTGGCTACCCTCCTCCCCACAGAAGCCTCCCCTGTCCACTCCAATAGGGCCTCCACAGACCAAGAGGAAGGAGCCCAGGCAGTCAAGGGGGTGGCATGTCTGCCTCTCTGATGAATTCAGAACGACTTTATAGAAGAAAAACTCTAAAAGCTGGGTGTCCAGAGAAAGAATTTCAAACTCATCAAGTTGTTCCTAGCACCAATCACAAATAAATAAATAAACAAACAAACAAATAAATAAATAAATGCAGGTAATTGTTTCCTCCTCCTTAGAAGGTGTGATGCTCTAAGCAGGGGAGCCAAGAACCTGTCCTTGCAAGGACACGAGGAGGCTTGTGTAAATTTTATATGTGAATAATTTCAAGATAAAGCACAATAAACCTTAATCTCAGTGGTTACCTTAGCCTTCACTTTTACTAAGGTGGCTAATTTTCCAACCCTCTGTTTCCCAGTCTCCACCAAGAGAGGGACAACAATCCATCACACATACACATCTCCTGTCAGAGTTCTCTCAGAGATGACCACGGGATGGCATTTACCTACAGACAAGCACTGTGTCTTGAAAGCCACAGCAGTGTGGAGCAGCAAGCGCGGAGGAACTTGTTTCTGCTTGGCCAAAGAAGAAAGTACTGATGTGGCAGCGCAAGAAAGTAGACCTTCTTCTGTCCCAAAGCTCCAACACTAAATTCAGCTCATGCCTATTTTAAACTGTATCAAAATGCGTCTGTATGTATCGATCTTTTTCTCCATGATCCTTCTTGGAAATACATTATAAATCAAATCAAAAGTTCAATTACTAATGTCCAATTAAATCACAGATTAAGGAACTCACAGAGGAAATATCACACTGAGGTTAATGAAAATGTTATTTCAACATGAAAACTGCCTTAGAACTTGTTACCAAATTGTAAACATTAATTATCTCTGCTATTTTAAGCCCTACTTTAAAAAAATTTCTTCTTTATATCATATTTTATAACAAAATCACCGTAGTCCTACACTATTATATGAGTCTCTTAAATTAAAAACTCAATATATGTAGTAATTTAGACTATGATGCTTTGAGCAGTAGCAATTAACTAGCACATTTTAAATCACAAATAGTCAATACTAAAAAGCAAAACAAGTCAGAAGAGCTATTGTCATCTACATAAAATTGATTCTCTACAGACCAAGAGCTCTGCAAAATACACATGTATCAATACATGGATATTTAGCAGGCATCCCAAGCCATTGCTACATACCTGCGTGAGATCTGCAGCTTGCTTTAAGATGCTTTTCCTTAAGTCTTCTGCTCTCTTTGCATGAAAAGAATTACTTTGACTCTGGATGACAAATACAATTCCTTTTAAATCTAGAACCAAAAAAGAAAAAAGTTTTCAGGTATTTGCTTTTTCACAACAACTGAAATAAACTTGAAAACAAGTTTTAAAAAGAAAACACGCTACAAGATAAGCCTTCAGGAAATAAACTCTTAGGGAAAAAAAACAATTTACATGTAATTCTAGTGATAAAATCTGTCTTTTGAAATTGATCCGCAAAATTTCTTTCCTAGAGACTAGCAAATAAATAAACTCAATGTACGAGACCAAGTTTATAGTAACAAATTATGTATTTTCTCTTGCCTGTCAAAAAGAATGACTGTAAATAAAGTATGAAAATGTCTAGAACACTAACCCCCCCTAGAAGCAGAAAATCTTGTTTGCAAGTAGGCTTTTAACAATTCATACATAATCCTAAATTGTGCTGTTACTTGCTATAAGTTGAATTATGTCCCCCAAATTCAGATTGAAGTCCTAATCCCCAGGATCTCAGAATGTAACCTTAGTTTAAACTTGGTCTTGTCATCAAGTTAAAGTAAGATCACTACTGTGGGCCCTAATCCAATATATTCGGTGTCTTTAGAGAAGGAGGAAATGTGGATACAGACACACAGAGAGAAGATGATGTGAAGACATGGTAAGAAATATGCTGTCTACAAGCCAAGGAAAGAGACCTTAGAAGACACCAACCTTGCAAATGCCTTGATTTTACACTTCCAGGCTCCAGAACATTGAAAAAAAGTTCTGTTATTTGTGCCACACAATTTGTGGCACTTCATTGCTGCAGCCCCAGCAAACTAACACACTACCTCAAGACTCTTCTGGATGGCCCTTCAAAGTGACATTTAACAGTGACTGCGTATGTCCCATGAGTCTACAAATAAATAACTCAATTACCCATGCCCTACCTCATAGCATCCAGCCAGAAATGAGCATTCTCTTCAGGAAAACAGCCACAATCCCACAGAAGCAGGGTTCAGCAAGAACTGTTGCTTAACAGCTCATCTATGACAACACAGGCCACACGGGCAGAACTTGCCGGCCCCCTGAAGACTCACTGAAAGGCTGGTGGCTTTTCTACAATGACCGACTGGGTGGAATCCTGCTGTAACACGCCCACCTGACCAGGAGGACTATCAGAGGCAGCCCTGAGCAGAGATGGTTGCTCAGGCCCCATGTGGAGAAGCACATTAGCCTCCCCCCTTTCTGAACCTGTAATAAGGAAGCAGATTGAAACCTCCATCACATCAGCACCCTGCCACCAGATGGGGTGTTGGGAGAAGGCAGTTGTCAAAAAACTATAGCCTCCGGCAAGGTTTAGAGCAAATGGATGAGGGGACTATCCCCCCACCATGAGCCTTTCCCTGCAATACCTTGACTCAGGGACACTAATTTGGTTTTAATTTTATTCAATTATATTTTATTGTTCTGATGTTCAGTTCTATAGTGCCATTCATTTATTCACTCACTCAACCATTCATACAACAAATAGCTCCACAGTGAGCCACCTAGATCCTAAAATAATCCCAAATGCTTTTTCGTTAAAATGCAATTAAAAATGTACCATAAAAGGAAATGCTGAACAACCTACTGAATATGACCTCTTTGCTTTCCATTAGAGAATATATACATGTGCAGATTCTACATATTTATCTCTACTCTAAATCAGCTCCTGGCTCTATAAATCAGACACCCAGAAGGACTTACATTGTGTCTTCTATTTCAACTAAAACATAACCTTCCATCTACTACATCTGAAACATTAATACAAACCAACATATGAAAAGAGGAGTTATAAGGACTTACTTTTGTGAAAAATGAAGTAAAACTTCAGAGAATAATTTTTCCAAATTTAATAAAGTTGAGGTTGCACATTCCCAATGACCCAGAAATTCTACTGCTATTAACAGTCACTGAGAAATGTTCCTGTGTGTATAAAAGGGTCTATGACAAGTACACTCCCCACAGCATATGCAAAAGGAAAAACTGGAAGCAACTCAAATACTCACTAACAAGAGGCACAAATCAAAATACTACTCAATAATAAAAATTAACTAGTCCTACGTGTATCAACCTCAATGGATGCTGGAGATGAACTGTACAGGTGGAATGCTGAAAAAAGTAAGCTGCCAAGGAATAATTATATAAATCAGTAGTTTACAAAAACATAAGCATAAAGTGGATATGTGCTATGTATGTAAGCAGACATTGTCCATGTATCTGATATGAGTGTAAGATTATTTGAGAATGATAAACAGCAAATCTGGATAATGGTTCAAAGGCTTCAGCTGTGTAATAGCATGTAACGAACATGTAGGATGTCATTACATTATCTCTTTGTGGCTTTTTGTATGTTCAAAATAATTCGTAATGAAATTTTTAAAAGAGCAGATCCATGCGTCAAAGGCTAATCCTGCTCTCGCCACAGTAACCAGCTCCCGCCACTCCTGTCAGCAGAACTCCCACCGTCTGCAGATCATCCAACGCAGGGGAGAGACTTTGTAAGAAGAAATAAAGCAAACTCTCCCCCTTTTCATATATTCGGGTCATGTGCTGTTAGCTGTATGTGTTTCTCCTGCTATTAAGGAATCACTCCCTTCCTGTTCCACATGCTTTGACCATGCATGCTGTGTGCACTTACTCAGCAAGCATTGCTGAGTCTCTACCAAGTGCCAGGATCTGGGACACAAAGGTGACTGAGCAGTCCACGCACATCAGCACCTGATTCTAGTGTACCGTTGGCAGGACTGCAAGCTGGTACAGCCACCACAGAAAACAGTATGAAGTTTCCTCAAAAAAACTAAAAATAGAACTACCATAGCACCCAGCAATTCCACTCTGGGTATTTACCTGAAGAAACCCAAAACTAATTTGAAGAGATTTATGCATCCCTATGTTCATTACAGTGTTATCTACAATAGCAAAGAGATGGATGCAACCTAGGTGTCCACCAGTAGATGAGTGGATAAAGAAGATATGTCACTCATATGCATGCGCGCGCACACACACACGCACACACACACTCACATATGCACACAATGGAATACTACTCGGCCATAAAAAGAATAAAATCTTATTATTTGTGACAGCATGGGTGGACTAGGAGAGTATTAAGCTAAGTGAAATAAATCAGTCAGAGAAAGACAAATACCATATGCTTTTGCTTTTATATGAAATCTAAAGAACAAAACAACACAAAACAAAAACAGGCTTGTAGAAACAGAGACCAAAAGAATGGTTGGCAAAGGGCATGGGTAGGGGATGGGCAAAAAAGGTGAAGGGAATGTAGTCAAAAATATTTTGATAGTTTGCACTGTGACAGATGATTGCCAGAATTTGTGTGGGGTTCACATTGTAAGGTATCTAAATGTTGATGCTGTATTGTATACCTGAAAGTAATATAATATAATATTGTATGCTATCTATACTTAAAAAAATAAAAATAAAATAATTTTTGTTAGAAAGAAGGTAGGCCATCCTACCACAAAGGCAAAAATACAAAGCCAGAGCTCACAAGGGGAAACTGTGAGGACACATAGGAGAGGGAGCCAGTGCAAGAAGAGTGTCTGGGAGGAGCTGTTTCCTGAGTTTCCTTTAAGAAGCAACCATTCCTTCAGGCTCAGGCTCGGAGGGTTGCCAAGCAGCAGCAGCAGAGACAAGTAGGATTATCACTGAGACCACAGTGGCCTTATCTCTGCAGCATCCCTGAGAGGGTGAACAGGGAGTGTATCAGGCATTTCTGAAAACAAGATGCAGGGAACAGTCAGTGATAAAGTTAGAGTGGGAGACTGGCTCAGCCAAATCAGTCAGCAAGGATTTACAGGCCTCACTCAGAGGCTGGGACTCCAAATTAATAGCTTTCAAACTGGGGATGAGCTCAGGAGCCACCTGGGACCCCAGACAATGGGGTCCAAATCTTCACTGCTCCCACTGTCCTCCACTCTCTTTTCTGGGGGTCCATAGGACACAGTGTCCTCATTTCTTCCTCTGGGAATTTAGGACACGGCAGGTATGGCTAAGGAATAGGATGCTCATGGGGGAGTTATAGGCAATGAGGCAAAAAAGGAAGGGTGCTCCCACTTCTTAAAACCTGGTAATAGAGACAGAAACTCATCTCCTCCTATTCAGCCCTAGCCCCTTCCAGAAGACAACCAGGTGAGTACAGTTTAGTGCCAAAAACAACTTATGTGCTTTAATTCCTGCTGCTCTTTATATCAGCACCATGAAATATTTTCTGACACGTGTTCTCAAGCCTCCCCCAATGAGCCAAATCCTGGTGGTGTCTAAATCGCCCAACAGAGTCTTCTCTGCTGACACCTTCTGACCTTGTGATTCTCAGGCTCCCACTGACCAGTCCCTGGAGCTAACAAGACAACTCCACCACTTCCTCTCACTTTGGCTGCACATCTCTAAACTCAGTGCAATTTGTTTTCAGCCAACACTGTCACCACTCAAGACAGATTGTCATTGTTTCTCCTCCAGGAATGTGTAACAAATGGGCAGTACACTAAGTGCCTGAAAATAATGAGTGTGACAAGAAGATAAAGAGTTGAAGCCAGTGGAGAGCTGCAGGGAGTACTAAGTACAGGCAACAGAACCAGAGGTGGTTAGAAAAGGTCCCTGCAGGAGAAATAACTCTTCTGTGAAGGCAGAAGAAATCAAAGGTCTTCTATTTCTGCAGGTGCTGATCACCTGTCATGTGCCAAACACTCTACTAAGCACTGATCCTTCCTGGTCAAAAATTATCTAGACATACAAATTTCACAAGGCTGGTGTTTTCCTGATGAGAAATCAATGTGGCTTCTTCAGATAGTACAACAAGGAGGCTCATGATTTAAGGCTCAGGGATAAGTATGCACACATGCACTCACACATGAAGAGCCACTCTCCAGTTATGTGTCACTTGGTAAGAACAATGTCACTAATGAATCTACAGATTAGGTAATAAGCCAGAAGAGAAAAAGAGACTGCCCGCTTTGGAGATTGCCACCCATCCCTGAGTATCGTTGAGACCATGATCTAAGCACCCTGGCTCCTCTGGGCAGCTGCCTTAGGAGCCCCTGGTCCTGTGGACTCACTAAGATTGCAGCCAATAAATCCCCAGGGTCCTTTTAGGATGACCAGATACCAAGATAAATATCATCAGACTGGCCATCCATACTTGCAAGAATGTAGATTTCAGTTCCCGGTAACTTCCCCTTGGTCCTTTCAAAGCCATGTTCCCAACGATGTTCATTAGTTCATTTAATAACCATTTACTACGAGACCCATCAGCTCCCAATAAAGCAATGTGGCTCCTTAAATAAGGCTGTTCTCAGAGCCAGCAGACCCTCACCCATGCCCCGATGTTCCCCTGTGTGCAGGGCCTTAGATGCGCCTCCCCAGCACAGGCCATCCTCCCCACCCCACCCCACCTGCTACCCAGGTGCTCTCTCCTGTCTTACCAACTCCTTAGAATCCAGGCCCAGGAAAGAAGGCCTAGAAAGGAAGACATACCTTTTCCTTCCTGTCCCAGCCCGACTTCCAGGTCTCCAAGGCCCACCCTGGATGATGGTTACCTTCCAGTTAACACCCTGGGGCGTGTTTTCCACAGAACACACAAAAAAATATCCTCACTCATAGCCACAGCCCTGAAGACACAATATGCTGAGGGAGAAGGTGTATGTGGGCTGTAACAGAAGTGCAGTGTGTTTGCAAAGGAGCAAGCCATCCCTTCCACACCAGTGATCAGGAGGAGTCTGACAGGAGATGTGTCCGTGAGCTAACCTGAAGGGCAATTTGTGTCTGTGGGTCCACAGTGGGGGACCTGGCTGAAGGCAGAGGAAAGCACAAGCAAAGGCCACAGTGTGCCTGTTTCTCCCACTAAGTGTGGACCCCTAGTCACAGAGATGATATCTGACTCACTTCTGTCATCATCTGGCACAGCAACTGCCCTTATTGAAAACTCAACAATATTTACCCCATAAATAAATTCAGGAAAAAATGCATTTCACTGACTCATAATTTACAAGAAATATACCTGGGTACATATTCTTAACTTTAAACAAAATTACATACCTATGTCTTTTTTCCTTGACATACCATTTTTCTCCAAATTCTGTATTGAAAAAAAAAAAAGAGAGAGCAAAAGATAAATCTCATCACACAACAAAGTTAATAATGTGCTGAATGAATACATATGATACACACTAAAAATCTGGGGGGAAAGGAAATGAAGATGAGAGTTTGGAAATGTTTCCTTACAAACACTGACCAATATGTAGAGGGAAAAGTAAAAATGATGTCCTTCTATGTCAAGGCAGTAGCCTCCCATGGGCTCTCCCTTTCACATGTGGTTTTTTTTCAAACTGATTTTGAGAGAGAGATAGGTAGGGCAGAGAGAAAGAGGGAGAGAAACTAATTCAGGAAAACATCAATTTGTTGTTCTACTTATTTATGCATTCATTGGTTGAATCTTGTATGTGCCCTGACTGGGGATCAAACCCACAGCCTTGTGTCTTATATGTGATCTTGGGCAGTCACTTCATTGAGCTGAGGCTCTTTCCTCCTGTTTAACATGGAGCTAAAACGTAACTAGTTCAGTTTTCTGAAGGGTTAATTTAAAAACCTTATAATAACCTAAAAATAAAAAGGCTTTCAAAGTGAGAGGCAACAGCATTTATTTGAGATCAATAAGAATGGCTATTCGGGAAGCACTGACTAATTCAGGCAGAAGCCCAAATAGTGTTCTGATTACAAGATAAGGCCAATGGGTATTTATGAAAAAGGGAAGGGGAACAATTACATTAATAGAAGGAAGGCATTGCTTTTGGTGCAGATAACCTAACATAGTGATGTTTATTCTAAACAAGGTTTTGAATTTTCAGTTCAGTAGTCATAATTGTTCTCTTGTTATCTCTGCAAACAGTTGTTTGGAATACAATACTGCCTTAGGCCCAGTCCAAAGGTAACTCTGCCCTGTTTTTAGATTCCAAGGTTTGAGACATAAGACGTACAAGGCAGTTCCTCTGGAAAGGCAGCTCCAGCTCCATTTTAAAGTAGCTATGTTTGTTTTGGGATTTTTTTTTTACACATGTAAACTCTAAGCACTACAAACATCACAAATAGTATCAGTTCTGGCAATGTGTTCCCCATGAAGATGAACCCTGCTAATGAGTGTATTTATCATCATTTGGCTTGGATGTGCTGTCAAGAACGTTACCACAATGTTCTCTCCTACCTGAGAAGCTATGCTGGGACCCTGCAGGTTGTTGGCTTGCATTTCACGAGAATTCATGGGCACAGAAGGGGTATCTGACAGTTGCAGAGCTCCTGACAGAAATCTGGATGTGGGCAGAGAAACACCTGACCCTAATCTTGAAAAGATCAGGGAAGGAGCTCTGAAAAGATTTCTCTGACAAAGTGCCAAGTGGCAGTGGCTAAATCTGCCATTTTATTGTCCTCTCCAGCAGACAAAGGAATTTTCTCTCTAATAGTCCTTTTCTGCTTTCAACCACCACATGCTATAATTATGACAATCAGACAATGGCAAATATCATTCCATTTTCTTCACTGACAGCAACAAGAAATTACCTACAAAACTGGGAGCAGCTTAAAAGGTAAGATACACAGAGATGAATTCTCTTAGAATGCCAAAGGGACCATGACAACAGACAGGGAGGAGAGAGCAAAACATGGGGGAATGTCTATCTTTAGTAGTATTTTCCTAAATTATCTTTGTGTCAAGAATAGAAATAACAGAGACTGATAGGGGAATTCAAGAGTTAAAGATTTTAGCTTCAGTTATAGTTGATAGGCTTAAGTTTTTAATGCATGTGGAAAGCTGTTATTCCAGGAACTGGAATGCACGACCTACATGAACTCCAGCAGGTCAACAAGCAATTCAACTTTTGTGCCCCAAGGGGTCTGCAAGCAATGGAGATGGTATCTGAGCCATCATGTCCCAGAGAGAGAACTCTGAAACACAGATAAAGAATTGCTGATCAGTAGATAAAGAAGTACTAGGAAAAAATCACTGTGGGACTGCAATTCTTATCTGATTAACCTTTTTCCAAACCCCTTACCTACCCATTCCTTCTCCTTATAAAAAGATCAGCTTGAGATGAGATGTTAAGACATTTTTTGAGGGTACATAAATCACTGTCTTCTCAAATCACTGGCATCTGAATAAAACGCCCATATAGATTTAATCCTTGTCTCTATTTATTGATTCTGGTAGTGACAGGCAGCACTAATGCCGACTTTCCCAGTTTCAAAATGAGAAGATCCTACAGTTATGTATTTATTTGTTACACCTCAGAATCAAGTGACATTCTACTTACTCCTGATAAAACACATAGTTTTTGGAAGAGCCAAAGGAAAGAGAGAGACGCTAGAATGCTCAACCCACTTCTGTAAATGTGTGAACCAAAGCCAGGTACCATCATAAGTTAGAATGTGTGGACTCGTTGTGTCTTCCCTACTCTAAATGCCACTTGTGGCCAGGAGAACAGCTTGCCCTCAGAGAAAAAGCACTGGCCTTGGATTCAGAGGGGTCTCTTTGCCTCCAGCCCTAACTTGCCACCCCTGGGTCAAGATGCCCTCTCCTTGGGAAGCCACAGCTTTGGCTGCCAGATAAAGCTCATAGAAAGTTAGAAATTTTAGACCTAACGGAAGTATTGGAATGGGTAAAGAAAATGTGGTATATACATATAAGAGAATACTGTTTATCCTTAAAAAAAAAAAATTCTGACACATGCTACAATATGGATGAACCTGGAGGACACTGTGGACAAAGAAGGGGCCACAAACTAAACCTGACAAGCTCAGGGGAGGCATGCGTGGTGGCCGTACATGCTCAGAGACTGAACGTAACCATATAGGATGGTATGGACGTTAAAATTCCTAATTAAAAGTGGGCTGTGATGGGTAGTCACATCCTAGGCCAATATCTTCCTTGACAAAGGTCAATCTTTACCTTAACTGAGCGTGTCTATTGTCTTTCCCCATCTACAATAACATGTCTTTGGAATATCAGAGTAATACCCTTTTTCCTGACCCCTCAGGGCACAATCTCCCACCAGAGCATAAGATCAGGGATCCCTTCACTGTTATTGTTATCGTGTTAATTGTTGACTTTTTACTACCCTATACCCACCAATGTAAAAGAAGTATGTGTCTATCATTTTACTTTTTATCCAGTTCCATAGATTCCCCCACTTTGCCTTCTCTTGTCCCCTTAATGTCTCCCTAATTTATCACCAATGGATTTAATGTAACCCCCTTACATCTTGCCCTGATTCTGATGTATAAAATAAGTGGTAAAACTAATTTTTACCATTCTCTGGAGAATTTTCTTAGTCCACTGAGATTTTGCTTCCCAGTCACTGTCATCAGTTTGGCTCATAAAAATTCTTATAGGTTTCAACATTCTTAAGTTGACAACACTATTATGTTAAATATATAAATGGAGCCACTTTAAATGGAGCCAGAGCTGCCATCCCAGAGGAACTGCCTTGCACATCTTATGCCTCAAACCCTGGAATGTCAAAACAGGGCAAAATAACTTTTGGACTGGCCTAAAGCAACATTATGTTCCAAAAAAAAAAAAATGTTTGCAGAGATAACAAGAAAGCAGATCTTATAACTACAGGACTGGTGGCTACTGGACTGAAACTTAAAAACATTGTTTGGAATTAACATCACTATGTTAGCTTACCTGCACTAACAGAAACACCTTCCTTCTATTAAGTAATTGTTCCCCTTCCCCTTCTCACAAATACCCCTTGTAATTTGTCTTGTAGTTGAAACATTATTTGGGTTTATGCCTAAATCATTGCTTCCCCAATAGCTTATTCTTTTGGGTTTCAAGTTTCTTACCTCTTACTTTGCCTTTTATTTTTAGATTAACATTAATAAACCAGTCACAAAAAGACAAACACTGTAAGATTTCACTTATATGAGACACCTAGAATAGTTAAATAAGTAGAGACTAGAGGCTGGGGGAGAGGAATGGGGCATTATTGTTTAATGGGGACAGAGTTTCAGTTCTGCAAGATGAAAAAAATTCTGGAGATTGCTTGCACAGCAATATATATGTGCATAATAGTACTGAACTGTACACTTAAAAATGATTAGGATGGTAAATTTTATGTCATGGGTATTTTACCACACTTTTAAAAACTGACATTAAAGATGATCCAATCCAACACTCCCCTTTACAAATGAGATAACAGAGGTTCAGAAAAGATGAAGGATTCACCCATTGTCCAATAGTCATTCTAGCCACAGAACTAGGATTAAAATCTAGGTCTTTTGATTCCTTTCCAATGTTCCTTTCTTACACCCTCCCCCCATGAAAAATGCATGTCCAGCCTTCCTCCAGATGTATTCTTCAGAAAACATGCATCATTAGATGTGGAAAAATTTAAAGAGTAAGCTAGAAATAACACCTACAACAACAGTCACCTTCATCAACAAGTTGAAAGATAAACTATATCCCAAACTCAGAGACTGCAGACTCAGCAGCCTGAGTAAGCTGGCACCCCACTGGACTCTCCACCAGAGGTCTTTGTGAAAGCAAAGGAAAGCAACCAGAACTATAACTCCTTCCCTTTGTCTTCAATCACCACAGCGCTGACAAGCTGACACAACAGCTAGGAAATGATCAGCCATTGCCAATGGCTCAATTTGTAAACAGTAAAAATAAAATATCCAAGAAACGGTTGGATTAGGTGAACTGAAATAGAACCAAAACAGTCTTGAATATGATCTTCTTTGAGAAAGAAAATTAGACTAAATAAACGAACTGACAGAACATTCAGAATTATGTCTCCAGCTTCCTTCATGGAAAGGCTTAGTTCTCCCCCAGAAAAAAATGAAACACATGGTTTGTTTTATTATCTCTGCTGCTGTATGTTTCTCCCACTATCAATATCAGTCAAAATGTGCTTACTGCTAAAGTTTCCTAAGTCATCTGAAGTGCTACTCAGTTAAAAAGGTCTATACCTTATACCTCTAACCCACAAACAGCACCTACCCTCATCAAGAAAAGACTAATCCAAGTCACCCTTGTGCAGTTCGATTTTTTGAGGCACCATAGATTTGAGCACTTGCTATCTATCTAGGTGAGGCTTAGTTTGTACGTACATTCTTCATTAAAAAAAAATCCTCAAAAGAACGTAATATGAAATCCTTCAAGAAGGAAGAAGTGATAAAATGGCATCTTCTAGCCACTTGCCACCAGCCACCAGCACCCCTGAGATTCTGAGTGAAATTAGGTCAGCAAAATGCGGTCATTAAAGACCCCACTGTAAGGTGGGCCTGCGTATTTACTGCATCCACCAGTCTCTGGCTCAGGCCTCGGCTCCTCGTATGGACAAGAGGAACATAACTACAAGGCCCACTGCATAGGGCTTAATTAGATCATATTATGCTGAGCACAAGTGTCTGCCCAAAGCAAATGCTCAATAGCTGTTACCTGCCATTCTTTCCATCGTCATCACCTCCTTCAGATAACATCAACTATCACCATACAAGAAATTTAACTGATAAAAGCTGTAAGGCCTATAGTTGTCTTCTGATTTGTTTAGGTTCCTCTTAAAAGTCTGCATGGGACATTTCCTGCTGTCATATCAGGTGAACATTGAAACAGGGCCTGGCACTGTGCTACATGGTGGACACACACACACACACACACACACACACACACACAATCTTCAAAATGGCTCTCTGAGATAAACCCTATTATACCATCTTCTTGAAGATGCTGAGACACAGAAAGGTTTGGTAAGTTCCACAGCAGATTAGTGTTAGAGAAGGGCCATGACCTGCAGCAGTGTGGTTCTAGTGTCCAGCTCTATCCTTGTCACACAGGACATAATGCCACAAGCCACCACAGGACACAGGGCCAGGCCCAACTGCAGGTTGCCCAGGTACAGGGCCATGGCTGAGACAGCACGCGGGGCCTGAAGCATGAGCCTGGGAGGGCAGGTTTCCTGAAAGTGGGAGGGTCAGAACCCAGGACAGCCCCAGGACAGGGACCCAGGAAAGAATCCTGAGACAAGAGGCTGGGCCCAGTCAGGACCACAGGGCACTGGCAGCACTCAGGATTTTGAGGAGAAGCCACCAGCCAGTAACCCTGAACCATGTTTGGGGAAGGCCCCTAGCTCTGTTCGGCTGGGCTATATTCTGGCATGTACCCAAGTGAGCAGGGAGGTGAGGGGAGCACAGGCGGCTGCTCTAAGCAGCAATGACAGGGTAGATAAACCAAGGAGAACCCCACACTAACATGGTCATTTTTAAGAGCCGTAACTCCTTTTCTGTCTCGCAGTGTCATGTATGGTCTACAGGAGACATTTCATCACTGCCTCTTCTCATGGGATTAATGGCTGTTTTGGTTCTGTAGCCCAGGCACGGATGGGTTTAATGATATTCTTCAAGGGCTTTAATATCTTTGCCTGAAAAATGACAGTAAGATATAGGACTCCCCTTATCTCTATATTTAGATTTATATATATATATATATATATATATATATATATACACACACACACACACACACACACACACACATATACATATATATACACACATATATATACACACACACACATATATACACACACACACATATGTATGTATGTGTGTATATATATATTTTTAAGACAAAGGAGACATATATTTCTTCATTTGAAAAAATTAGGCAAAAACCTGTATTTGAAAGTATGTGCTATAATTTCTAAATTTATTATGTAAAATTTTAGTTCCCTATTAATAAACCTTGGGTAGCACTTTAAATTTATTATAAATGAGCCTCATTATTGCCAAACACACACACACACACAAACACACACACACATATTTTAAAGTGCACATGGCTGTGTAATAGAAAATTACAGTTTGGAAAACTAAAAATTTCAGAAATTTTGGATTCTGACTTCACCTTTGAATAGTCATGTGACCTCAGTGGAATCACTTAGCTTCTCTGAGGATAAATTTTCTCAGCTTTTTACAAGAACATTTGCTTTGCTAAGCAGTAACAGAATCATTGAGAAGATTAAATTAAATGTCTGAAAATGTTTAATTAACCATAAAGGATCTTAAAACCTTAAGGAATTATTGTTATTATTTTCCCTGTGTAGGAATCCCATAGTATACTTAGCACAGATAAAAGAAACATTCTACTTAAAAATGCTTTTATACTAATTGTGGGGTAAAAAAATAGTCAACTGAGCCTTAATATGACAAAAATAACTCATATTTTAAAATATCGTTTCTCCTTCTCATATGCTAAACTCATTTTGCACAAAGCCCACGTGGTAAAATTCTGATGAGTTTCTGGAATGACGTTAATGATGCAATGATGACAAAGCAGCAGCTCAGAGTTCTGGGCAAGTGCTGTCCCCTCTCAATTGGGGCCCCAAGTCCCAGTTTCTAGTTCTGACTGTACAGAGTCTGGGTCTCTTGGCCAGTCCCCAGGATGCCCTCTCAAGGGGCCACCCTCAAGGTGAGGGGTACTCAGGCTCTTGTGATTCTGGAAACAGTATAATCCTTTCACAGGCTGGGAAAGTTAAACCTAAGGTTAAGATGTAGTACAACTGGATAAAACTTGCTTGTGTCCAAGCAAGGCTTCTAAAATGTCTAACTCCACATCAGAACATCTTTTTGCTTAGAATAAAATTTGAAACCTAGTGGGCATGCTTTAACTATACTGAAGAATGTTTTTAAAAGCCAGCCTATCTGTTGGTTGTTGCTAGGGATTCAAAATCTATGTTGATCAACATTCATAAATTTGTAAAAATAAACAAATAAACTTAAAAACCATTGAAAGAAGAAATCATGACAACTCCCATTAAAGAAATCACAAACAAATCTCAGATGAGAAGAATAGATTGGATCATTAGAATCAGTACCTTAGATGGTGTGACCACTTTCTTCACATCCTTAGAAGCCAACACAAAAGCTGGAAAAAGGAAACATTTTTATATTAAAATAAGCAAATTAAAATTTATTCTCACATTGAACAGTTTTGTTCAAAATGAGAAAAAATAATAATACTTTAACAAGACATATTTTGCTCATTTTTAAAAGCAGCTCCATTGCCACAAACTAGAAACACTGGCCACATTAATCTCTGGACCTAAAATCATTTATCAGTGTAAAGCCAACATGTTTAGGCTACCAAGCTAAAGAAATACTCCATCAGAGAACTTAGAAGCTGTGTACATCATTGGGGTCTATAGACATAAACCATAAAATAGATGCACACAGAACACTGCTTCTTAAAAAACCTCAATTTTGGTACCATATGGTGAACAAAAAAACTTTCATGGCCAAAAGCTCTTATGAAAAAAAGGTTTTATTGAACCACAGGCTAGCTAGAAAAGGAACAGATCCTGGGATGTGCAGTCTAAGCCACCAGCAGCAGGACTGGGTGGAGAAGGGGACAATTCTGCTATCCTGGGGCTGAGGGGAGTTTTTATATGTTATGTTTCGGGGAAGAAAGATCTAAGTTGTTCTGAAGAGAATTTACATTGGTTACGATAGGGCGTGGGAAAGGGTGAAGGGGGACAGTTTTAGGATTGGTGTACAGTCTGTAAGGAAGAAATATTTACTATTTTTGATTGGTGGTGAGCACAGTCCTGAAAGTTCATGTACAAGCAGGATGCAGTGGTGTCTGCTGGTCACTCATAGAGCGTGGAGGTTGAATCACAGCACCAACAGACATTCAGGAAGGGGAGGAGTCTGTTGTTAGTTGGCCCGCATCTAATTAGTTAAATAACTCTCATCACTGTCTGTCTCTCACTTGTCACTGTCAAATTATTAGGACACCATAGCCATTTTTTTTTTTTTTTTTGGTCATTTCTTCAGCAAAGGGGAATTCCTGAGCATCTGGAGGGAAGAAATATAAATCCCCACTCTGGCAATTACTGCCTGAGCCTGGCTGCAATAACTAAATCTGGCACCGGCTTTACCTGTTGGGGTCGTAGATCTCCACCGCATGCGGGAGACTGAGAAGACCTTAATGAAGCCATGGTGTGCAGTGAGTGGGAAGGGTTAAAAATCATTCCCCATTTAGACAATTTCATGTTTTGAGTCAGAGCCCATAAGTAAAGATATCCCTAGAAACACATCTAGGCTCTGCATTTACATAAAATAAGTAAATGATGATGATGATGATGATGATGATGATGATGATGATGATGATCGAAGGAGGAGGAGGAGACAGGAACACTTGGAAAATGTAAAGCAACATAATAAACCAAACAGGAAGGTAAACTGGACAAAGAAAACAATGTTAATTTTACAGTGCCATTCTCAAAAGTATTTCACAGTTTGTTTTCTCCAACTAGCATTCCCAGGAAAAACGGACAATGCCATCCAGCAAGGACGTACTTCAAGGCAGGACAGGCAAGTACATGGGGCAGTAATTCAGCACAAAGCCTGAAGATGCTGGGCTCCAGGTGACAGAGAGGGAGAGAACCTTACCCACTAGGGTACTGCCCAGCCCCATTCCCAGACAGACTTCAACTCTCCATTGACATCTGCTCAAGGGAAATCATCTAAAACATAGTTGCACTAAGAAGCCAATCACTAAGGTGGTTTAATCATTTCCATTCCCAGATGACAGTTCAAAAGGCAGAATGAAATTGAAATGTAAGCCAAATGAACCCCTACATGTGGAATTTAGATAACAGCAGCTTTTACAGGAGGCCTCCCTGAGACCACTGCTTATAAATAGCAAATCCCCAACTCCACACCCTCCTCTTCCCACTCCCGTTTTTCTACAGAGCATGCACTACCACTGACACAATATGTATTTATTTGTTTATTTCTTATATTACATATTTGTTCATCATAAGTTCCATGAAGGCCAAAATGTTGTTTTATTTACTGTTTGCCAACAAATCTAGAATACAGCCATCACACACACAAGAAAATCAATAAATATTTATTGAGTGATAAATATGAATGAATGAATGAATGAATGAATGAATGCAAGCCTCCATGATGGCACTGGGGTCACATCACTTAAGGACTGTCTGTTCCTTATACTAGGCAGCATCAACCCAGTAGAATGATCCAGTTTAGTGCCCCCACCTTAGTTTATTTTCACTAGGATCTGACCTACTTTCTCACTTTTACACAGATATACACATACAAAACTGAAATCACTCATTGAGTTCTAAGAAGATAGGAGAGATTTAACACAAAACATCTTATAACCATTTAAATTTTGCTTATAGGTACTTAATTTTGGGGGGGGAGTGGTTAATATGGGATTATTTACCTCCAACCTAGTAAGAGGGTTGTTAACATTTACAACCCTCTATCAAATACAGAATTATTCACAAACATACAAGGAGGTCACAACATGTTAACCTGGCCAGGCACCACAGAATTTCAGAAAATAGGATATTCCAACAACTTGCAGGCTATAAAAACTGTGGTCAATCTAATATCGATGACAAAATACATATCCGCCAACCCCATCAATTCCTAATGCCAAACATGGACAGTCAGAGCTCTCTGGATTAAAGTTTACTCTTCTATTAAGAAAAATAACCTCAGTCAAACATGTTCAGTGACTCGCCACCTAATAACCAGCACTTAGTCTTATGTCAGTTTTGCAAGATCAGATGGCTATGTCAACACGGAGCCCCTGGCCCTTAGAATGCAGACTCTCTACCAAAGAAAACCTGTCTTTATTTGGTGGTACTAGTTCTGAAAATGACTAATACATCACCTTTCATAAGTAAGCAGCTAGCATTATTTGACAATGTTACTGTTTCAAGTAGGAATTACATAGAGAGAAGATGTTCCCAATAAATCAAGAGAATTCCATAAATCTTGCCTGTCATATTCAAGACCCCATCCTTCATGCCTTTGTTCAGGCAAAGCTTAGGAGAAGGCAAACATTTTCATTCTCTGCAAAAATACACAGGCTGCTGAAAACTCATCCTTTCTCCTCATCACTCTGCTGTGAAATTCAGAACTCCTTTTCCCCTGAGAGAAATACATTACATAATGTTTATTTATTTTTTAAAGTTATATTTTATTGATAATGCTATGACAGTTGTCCAGATTTTCCCCCTTTGTCCCCTCCACCCAGCACCCCCCTCTACTTCAGGCAGTCCCCCCACGATTGTTTATGTCCATGGGTCATGCATTTAAGTTCTTTGGCTACTCCATTTCCTATACTGTACTTTGTATCCCTGTGGCTATTCTGTTACTACCTATTTGTACTTCTTAATCCTCTCACCTCTTCACCCATTCCCCTAGACCTCTCTGCCACCTGACAGCCATCAAAACTACCTTCATATCCATGATTCTCTCTCTGTTCTTTGTATCTGCTGAGTTTGTTTTATAGACTCAATTGTTGACTGATATGTATTTTTTTGCCATTTTATTGTTCATAGTTTTTAAAAGTATATTTTATTGATCATGCTAGTACAGTTGTCCCATGTTTTTTTCCCCCTTTATCCCCCTCCTGCCAGCATCCCTCCCCCCCTTAGTTCATGTCCATGGGTCATCACATAAGTTCTTTGGCTTCTCCATTTCCTATACTATTCTTAACCTCCTCCTGCCTATTTTGTACCTACCAATTACACGTCTTATTCCCTGCACCTTTCCCCCATTTTCCCTTCTCCTTCCCCACGGGTAACCCTCCATGTGATCTCCATTTCTGTGATTCTGTTCCTCAGTTTTCTTAGTTTTTGTTTTTGTTTTTTAGGTTCAGTTGTTGATAGTTGTGAGTTTTTTGTCAGTTTACTGTTTGTAGTTTTGATCTTGTTTTTCTTAGATAAGTCCTTTAACATTTCATATAACAATGGCTTGGTGATGATGAACTCCTTTAGCTCTACCTTATCTAGGAAGCACTTTATCCATTCTAAATGATAGCTTTCCTGGAAAGAGTAATCCTGGATGTAGGTCCTTGCCTTTCATGACTTTGAATACTTCTTGCCAGCCCCTTCTTGCCTATAAAGTTTCTTTAGAGAAATCAGCTGATGGTCTTATAGGAACTCCTTTGTAGGTAACTGTCTTCTTTTCTCTTGCTGCTCTTAAGATACTCTCATTATCTTTAATCTTGGGTAATGTAATTATGACATGCCTTGGTGTATGCTTCCTAGGGTCGAACTTACTTGGGACTCTCTGTGCTTCCCAGACTTGCAGGTCAATTCATTTGCCAGATTGGGGAAGCTTTCCTTCATTATTTTCTCAAATTAAGTTTTCAATTTCTTGTTCTTCCTCTTCTCCTTCTGGCATCCCTATGATTCAGATGTTGGCACATTCAAAGTTGTCCCAGAGGTTCCTAAGCCTCTCCTCACTTTTTTTGAACTCTTGTTTCTTCATTCTGTTTCAGTTAAATGTTTATTTCTTCCTTCTCCTCCAAATCACTGATTTGAATCCCAATTTCCTTTTCCTTTCACTTTGATCCCTGTATATTTTCCTTTATTCCTCTTTGTATAGCCTTCACTTCTTTATTTAGCAACCATACTCAGTCATTTCTGTGACCATCCTGATTACCAGTGTTTGAACTATGCATCTGATAAATTGGCTATCTCCTTGTCACTTAGGAATTTTGATCTGTTCTTTCACTTGGGTCATATTTCTTTGTCTCAGCGCACCTGTTATGTTGTAAGGGGTGGAGCCTTAGGTATTCAACACGGCTGGGTGACCCACTTCGCTGCGTTGTGGTGCTGTATGTGGGGGAGGGGTCAGAGATGGGACAGTGCCACTGGCTGGGCTCTCGTCCTTCTTTCAGTCACTTCCTTTGCTACCCGTAAGCAAGTTGTGCCCTTTGAGGTGCTTCCCTGGTGCTGATTCCCACGTGAGTGGGCTAGTGTACATTCGAAGACCCTGTGGACCCCTCCAGGCCCCTCCAATGGACTCTCTTGTGAGACTGGCAGTTTTTCCCACGACCCCAACCACTACAGATTTTTACAGCCAGAGGTTTTTGAGGCTTTCTTTTCCCATGCTGTAACTCTAGGTTGTGCAGTTTGTCTTCTCCCCATATGTTCCTCCCAGTTTATATGCATGCAAATGTGGGACCACCAGGTCCACCAGCCGCCACCTTGCCATGTGTCCTCTCTGCCCCAGCTGCCCCCCTCCATCCCTCCTATCAATCTGAATGAATGTTTCTTCTTTAACTACTTGGTTGTCAGACTGCGATACAGTTCGATTTTCTGGCAGTTCTTGTTATATTTTGTTTTTAAATTGGTTGTTATTCTTCTTTAGGTTGTGTGAAGAAGCAAAGTATATCTACCTAAGCCTCCATCTTGGCCAGAAGCCCTATTGTTCATAGTTTTGATCTTCTTCTTTTTCTTAAATAAGTCTCTTTAACATTTCATATAACAATGGTTTGGTGGTGATAACTCCTTTAGTTGCTTCCTGTCTAGGAAGCTCTTTATCTGCCCTTCGATTCTAAATGATAGCTCTGCTGGGTAGAGCAATCTTGGCTGTAGGTCCCTGCTTTTCATAACCTTGAATATTTCTTGCCAATCTCTTCTAGCTGAAAGTCTTATGGGAACTTCTCTGTAGGTAACTAACTTCTCTCTTGCTGCTTTTAAGATTCTCTCTTTTTCTTTAACCTTTGGCATTTTAATTATGTGTCTTGGAGTGGGCCTCTTTGCATCTATCTTGTTTGGGATTCTCTATGCTTCCTGGGCTTGAATGTCTATTTCCTTCACCAAATTAGGGAGGTTTCCTTCCATTATTTTTTCAAATAGATCTCCAATTTCTTTATCTTCTCTTTCTGGTACCCCTATGATGCAAATGTTGGAAGCCTGAAGTTATCCCAGAGGCTGCTTATACGATCCTCATTTTTTTGGATTATTTTTTCGTCTTGTTGTTCTGAGTGGTTTTTCTCTTTTTTTTTTTTTTGTTTGTTTTTTGGGCGTTTTTTGCTTGTGTTCCAAATCATTGATTTGATTCTCAGCTTCATCCACTTTACTGTTGTTTCCCTGTAAATTGTTCTTTATTTTAATTAGTGTATCCTTCGT